AATATTCTTAAATGCTGCAATGAAATTTTTGCCACATTACTTTTTCACTTTGATTTTGGGTTGTCTTTGAATTCTCTAGGTTGATAATTTTGCCTCATTTCATTCTTTACACTTGGTCAGTCAACATCACCACAGACATCCAGACAGATTTTGTTTTGGTCTCCCCAACATTTAAAAGGAGCAACTTTTTATTTTGAAGGCAAACAGCCTCCATTTCCAGTTTGCTTCAGTTTCACCACCACATGGGGAGTAGTTTGCAAATTGCAAATGTTTACGACATTAAAGGACTCTGGATAGGATTGAGTGACATCAAGTGGTGAGTTTACAGGCTGCAGGAAAAACTAAGTCCCCCTCTCTTTTCAAGTGTCCGGGTAAATCTACAGCGGTCAGTGGAAACACCGCTACTCATAGTTAAAAGTGATGATGTCATAATAATGAATACATTTTAATTTCTATAATTTACAAGTACAAAGGCATTACCTGCAGGACTGTTATCCACACAATCAGCAGTGACACCGGGAGCTGGCAGCTGCAAGATCTCTCTCTGTTCAGCCGCCCCTGCCGTCACAATCACATCCCCGTACTGAAAAGCCGAAGCATCAGCAGAGAATGAACAGACAGGAAAATGTTCAGACTCACCTATGAAGGAGTTCACTGAGTGTTCAAGTTCCTCACATGTTCTGGACTAAACATACCTTCATATGTTAAAGTACTCATGGACTATCTAAGAATAATAAAAATCACTGACTGATTGGATGTGGACAAACTTACTGATGCTACATGAGCTATAAGCAGTTACTCCTCACCTGGTATCCACCTGAGGTCTGGAGCTTTACAGAGGACGCCTGGTTAACTTTCTCTAAACTGAACATATAGCTGGTGAATTGTTTAAAGAGCGACACAAAGTTGCTGTCAGTTGGCAGAGCGGGAGAGGGATATGACAGTCCATCAACTCCTGCAGGTAAAAAGAAACTAGCTGAGATGAGCTTAAGGAAGCTGTTATACATAATATTGTAAATAACACACTGTTAAATTTGCCTTTTTTAACTTTACCAAACTTGTGTGCAAATGGTTTCTTGAAGCGTTTACTCTAACACTCCATAAAAGTCCATTTGCTGACTTACGGTTTTGTGACTCAATGCAGAAGATGTCGTAGTTGGTCTCCTTCTGAACAGATGATTGCAGCTCTGAATAACCGTCTGCTGCTCTCCTTAAAGAGTAGGACGCTACGTCGTGGCTGCACATCTGCTTGCTGCCACTGCAAAGTGATTAAAGACAAAGAAGGAGCTTATTGCTATGGACACGCAGACAAATGCAGAATTATTTGCTCTACTGGGAAACATTTTTATGGATTTCATCTTTTAGCGAGAGAAGACCAAGTGTTGCCATTTCTTTACTGTTGCTTTGATCAGGTCAGTGCAGTGTGCACGAACATTTCCACAGTCAGCTGTCCATCAGTAGGACAACAAGCATACAAACCACTGAATGTTTTCACTCAGTAATAACATTTCTTAAAAGTCTTAAACTGTTAGGTTGATGGTCAGTTTGGGGGATTAATGGTTCTTCTATGAGTCACATTTATGAGTTTTTCTGTAGCTGAAGTTAACCCTCACTAACAAACAGTTGTTTTAATTTGAGTGTTTTTTTTTAGTCCTATTAAAGGAAGTGCATTAGGCTATGGAAAGAAAGCAGGGCTAAAATTTGATGTGTTTGGACTATTTAATATTTGGGGGCATGTGTGCATGTAAACTGTTTTTTACAATTTGGCCAAAGCAGCCAACATTTCTCTCAGTGAACTCAGGTGGAGTGATGTTTTTCTAGCGTGGACGACAACAACACACACGATCAAAGCCACCACAAAGCCAATAAGAGTCCGTTATTAAACCACTTGTTTAACAAGCTGAAACTTAAAGAAATGCTTACTTTGCTCCTGTTTGCACCAACCACTGTTTTTTAATATAAAATACAGCAATACCACACATTGGCACATAAAACAATTCTAACAAAATCTATTAATTATACAACACAGAGCCAAGAGGAGAAAAATCTATTTTTGTGAACTGACACTGTCGCCCATTAGTAGAAACAGAGACGATTTTCAGCTGGACTTCTACATACCTCACAGTGGGATATGAGCAACTGGTGAACAGAGGCACATCCCCACTACACACTCTGTCACAACAGCAGTTGATGTCACATACATCCATCTGCTCATCGCAGGGACATAACCTGTCAGCTGACACACAAACACACACAGGTCATAGTTCATATTTTCTAGATGACAAACAGTCTTAATGCATTCAATACATTACAAATGGTACAAATGTGAAATGGCAGTTGTGTGTACAACTAGGTTTAATGTTCAAGCCATTAATACACACAAGAGGCAACATATTAGGAAAACCTTTAAGCATAATGTAGTTCATTTTGTCCACACCCTATTTGATCAAATTCATGCTAAACACATAAATAAAAATAAATAAAACTGATATCACAGGAGAGGATCGGGAATGAGCTTGCACTGGAGCTCTTACTCTGACTGATTGTGAACAACTGGTCAATGGGACTTAATTCTGACAAGTTCAATAATTATTTAGAAAATATGTACTAAATGCAGAGAGGTTAAAGGATCACTGTAAAGGAGGGTAACACATTTTGGGAAGAGGTAACGTGTCAGAATATTATTTCAAAATAAATGTAACTACTTTAGAGTTCAGAATGGGTCTTATTAAAAATAAAGAAACACAAAAATCTCAGAATGTGTACGTTATGTAGAAGTAATGTCAGAGCGGTCGTATTATTCATACACAGGTCTATGTGTCAGCGCATGCGCATGCTCTCCTTAAACGAAGAGTCTGTATATACCTGCATTAATGAGCATCCCAAGTTTTTATCTATCCGAATGAAAAACATAAAATACCACAAGGTCAGATCAAACGCTACGTTAAAATATCTTCATTTAACATTTTCCTTACTACCTCCGAGAGAACAGATATCCTAGCCACAGTTGTATAATGGGTACAATGGCTAATGGGTTTAATTTGAATGTGTTCACATCTCTGAAAGTAGCTGGCAAACTGAATTACCTAAAAGCTATTTTGGTGGACAAAGAAAAACAGTGAACATGTGCTAAAAACGGGGGGACTGGGGTAGAAACTGGGGTTAAATCACAGCGACAGGTTACCACTGGTGAGAGGAGTGGGTAGGTGCCCGGAGACTGGCAGGGGCACGGCCGGTAGGTTCGGCGTCTCGGTGCTGTAGCTCGGAGCTGTGGTCGTGCTCTCAGACACTGGAGGCTGTGTACGCGGATAACTCTCAGTAACATTATCAATAAGATTGAAGGCATCAAAACCCGTCGTATTAAAGTCGCTCTCTGTTGTGTTTACAGTAACGACAGTAAGCAAGAGAAATAAATAGAAGAACTCTGGATCGCACTTGACTACAGTTGTGACCGCCATAGTTATTTAATCGTTGCTATGGTTCTTCTTCTTCTGTTGCTGCTGCTTCTTCTTCTATGGCCTTTAATGGCGGGTGGCAAACCAATTGTAAGTAATTTACCGCCACCTAGTGGTACCGCTTCTTTTTGGTAATGCTGCGTGTACGGGTTTCCGCCCG